CTGTGATGGAGGAATTCCTTTCCAGCGGCCCCCTCTACTCTGCGCAGTAGTTTTATGCAAACTGGCACCCACTGAGCTTTAGCTTCTTGGCTCCCTTTAGGAGGCTCAAGTATGCCACAGTGTTAATGTGGATGGGATTAGGGATGTCTGTGTCAGGGGGCTTTTGGGGGAATGAGCTGGGATTTCAATTGTGAGGTTTGACACACAGCCAAAACTCTAGGTTTACCTGATTCGGTTTGCTTTGTAAGATTCATCCCACTTCTATGGAAGTTAAAAACCACTGTTCTGAAGTCCTTTAGATGGATGCATCCTGAAATATTCTCAGAAAGTCAACATAATCCATTTCACAAGGACTCACAGCAGACCTGCCACCGCACCACCTGTCTGCAGCTGTACCTTAGGTCTGCTTTAGATCGTGAAATGGAAATCAGCTTTCAAAGTGCTTTTTTAAGTTGCCTTTGGGTTCTGTTAAATGTAGAAAAAAATTTTTTTTTCTTGCTCAAATGAAATGTCACTGTCAATTCCTGCTGAATGTGGAATCATGCCACTAGACACATGAGGAAAGAAAACCCACGTGAAACATATGCCCAGATGTTATGGGAGAAACTGGTTTAGAAAAGCCTTTGTTTTGTGGGTGAGGCTGCCACGGGTATTCTAGCACCTGAATCTTTACTTACACAATTTAATGAATAAAAATACCCAGACTGACAGTCCTCAAGAACAACCAAATACCAATTACTGCGGAACAGAACAGCATCAGTGAGAGGTGAAGAAGGGCAAAGCATCATGAAATGAGTTTAAGATTTCTCAGATGGAGCACTAAGTTGGATTTCATTTTTCCTGTAATTGATTTATTTTGCTTCAAGGGAAACCTACGACTTATTTGAATCTGATTTCTATAATGTTAACATGGAGATGATACTACTCTCTAGCAATCTGCCCTTTTAGTGCACTAGGTAGCTCTTTTTATGCTTTATTGAAGACAATTTTCCAGAGGAAAATACCTTTCCAACATTCCAGAGGTCCCACATGCAACGTTCTCCATGTAAAAGTAATGCAGCAATTACAGGGTTTGGTATCCATTTCTGTCAGGCTCAGTAGCTCGGTACTTTGGCCAGGGACTTAGCCTGTTAAAGACCACGTCTCATCCAGTGTGGGATTAGTTCATTACCAGCTGCATCAGAAGTTACAAGATCTCCAGGGCAGAATAAACTTATTTCAATACTTTGGTGTCTGCCTTCAAAGAGTGGATGCTGTTAACTTATTATTTCTGTGTTACAGTTCCACTTTTTGGTCATTCTACCCTTCTTGTGCCCTTCTTCATGGCTAGCTGGAGCCTGTCCCATGGAGGGAATATTCAGGATGACATTATGCCTCCTTAGCATGAGAACCTATCCAGAGTCAGAAAATCCTCAGGCACCAGAGAGAAGAAGTTAGCACAATGCAAAGTATCTTTATTACAGCTTAACCGGTTCTTAAAGTTTCCTTTGCTTTTCAGCAAATGTGTTTTCTTCTTCTCATGGAACTGAGAACATATGTGCTGCCTGGCACACAATTTCTGCAAATCTTAAAGTCAGGATTGGGGGAGGCTGACTCACAATTCCTTACACTGCATGTGTGAAATCTTTCAAGAAAACTTGGAGGGGGGAAGATCCACAGGATTTCAGATGACGCTTTCAATTGCTATTAAGCCAGTTTTTTTTCAAAAAAAGAATTGATTGGATCTTGGCTTCTATTTCTGACCTTTCAAGCTTTTTTTAAAAAGCAAGATGAAGTGGTGGGTTGAATAAAAGCTAACAATCCTGAGAACAGAAAGAAGGTAACATCTGTACAGAGCTGTGGTTTTCCAATCGTCTTAATCATTTGATCTTGTGACATCCCTGTGATTCAGGTTTTATCTGTGACAAGGACAAAAGCTCCCAGAGATTACACAGTCATTGAGACTTTATTGACTCCAAACATTGAGTTCTTTCAATTCTACTGTGCGCCATTCTTCAAAGGTTCATGCAGTTCAGCTTTTATTAAAATTAAAGCACCCTAAAGAATGGCAAACTCAAACAAGATTCCCATTAAAATGATGTGTTTGAGGAAATAATTCTTCAGCTATCACTACAACTGATCCAGCTTGTGACAGGTGTTCTTCCACAAGACATCAGTCTCCAACATCACGCAAAGCCCTTAGGTGCACATTATTGTGCACAGGATGCTATCGATTACGTCTGACAGACTGCAGACAACCACAGGAACAGGACACCCACGTAGACATACATGGTTAATGTCTCGCGGTTTCTCCCAAAATGTTTTATATGCCACATACAGATTCAACAAGGTGTCCAACAAGGGTCCTCGATTGCCCCTGAAATGGGCAACAGACCTGACAAATCATTTTCTCCACATGACCCGTCTGACGAATTCTAGGAACGGTTCTTGGCGGACGCCTGTCCATAGTCTCCAAACCAGAGAGAGACCATGTAGGCAACAGGAAGGCAGGGCAGCTATATTTGGGCCTAATTTACTTCAGCCCAAGCATTGCAGAGTGAGATAGCTCTTCAGGGGCAAAGCTTCCAGGCTCAGAGAACACAAGAGCTCCAACAAGTTCTATAACATAAGCTTGAAAAGGGGGCAGGAGCCAGAAGCATTAACTGCAGGCTACGGGGTGGTCTTTTCTACTTCATTCTAGGGCTCCGTTCAGGCCCTGAGCTTACCCCGAATGGCTCTGTGACCTCGAGCAAGACACTCGTGCTCCGTGGAGTCCCGTGTGTAAAATGGGGGTAACAGCATGTTATCTGTGTGCACGGTTGTAAGGATTAAATGACATCACACACACTGCACCACATGCGGTAGGCAGCAGACACTGGCTAAATAGTAGTTATTGTTTTGCAGCATTGTGATTATCTACAATTCTCAGATGGTAACATCGCCAGTGCTATAATTTGAAACCCATTTATTCTTTACATTCTAGCAAACTACTTCAGAGCCTGTTTTTCCAGCTGCATTGTGTAGTTTGGGTTTAAAGAAAAATCCCTGAATATGTTCTACTCTGCTTATCAAAGGCTGTCTATAAAGCTCACTCAAGAGTAAGTAAATTGCACAGGAACTTGTTCCACCTTCTGTTGCTCTTCTTGAACCACATTCCATGTGGTAGCAGGTCTGTCTCTTTACTTCCTCTTCCTTCCTACCACATTCCATACCTTAAAAAGATGCCAGTTGAGTGTTAACTCTCCTTTGAAAGTGAATTTTCATCTTTACTTTTTAATGCAAGTTTCACCTTTTTAAAAATTTTATTTATTTTTTTTACTTTTTAAAAAAGTTGTTTAAAGTAGTTGTAAGTTCTCTCAATGCCCTCCAACTTCAGCCCATGCAACAAAATAGCCACGGAGAGAATTATTATTGCTCTGCTAGAATCCTCCCACTGAGAGGGGCGACTTTGTAATGAACTACGCATCCATAAATGCTTGACTCTTTGATCTCTTGTTGCTTGTACAACTCTAAAGAGAAAGGCATTCCAGCCCTAACCACACAAAGAGAGAGGGACTTAGGTTATTTATGGTGGACCCCTGACTCTAAGTTTAGCCTGGCTCTTTAAAGATTCAAATGCACACATCATTTTGACTGCCAAATCTGCTCCCTTCCTCTGCAGCGGTGTCTAACAGGCCTGGAGACCAGGAATGTCTGATCTCTGCTTCTCCCTGGGGTGAGAAAGGTAGCTGGCTTGGCAGAGACAGACACAACAGCATTTACAGAGACAGTAGAAAATAGAATCCATATGCTGCAAAGGGAAATCGGAGTAAATCACCAGGAGTGAAGAGAACTGCTGAACTCCCTTTCTGAGGCCTGTCAGCTTCTGGCAGAGAGTAAACAGGACCTACCGCTCAGCGCTCTAGCTGCACCAAATCCGGAGTCCACATGCCTGCCTGTATCTGATGGAGTTTCATCAACACGGCCCTTTATGGGAAGGAAAACAGCGTCCTTTGGTTCCTTGAGTTTCGAAGCTGTTTAGCAAGCCTGGCGCTTGCCATTACTCAATGAACTTCCCATCTCACTGCTGGGAGCCATGAATTCCTGGCTCCTACATTGTGGAAGCTGAGTTTACTGGCTTCCTATTGGTGATTCTCCGACCATGATGTCTTTGACCTTTCTACTTTCAGGTGCTGGGTGATGTGGCTGAGTATTGATCCACACAGCTCACCACATGAAAAACCAAGCTGAGTAAAGAAGGTACTGTGGAAAGACCTGTCTACTTACTTTGCTATCTTCCTCCAGATCAAATATCAAAGTTGTATGACTTGGTCTCAGGATGGTAACAGCTATCTGAGGGACGCTGTAATGGGTGACAACTCAACATGGATATAGTTTTGATTAGTGTAAAATACTGAACAGGTGGATTTATGATCTAAACTTAGGTTGAATGAATACAGCTACAATTGGGGGTTCGTGGAGTCATCTCACTCAAGGTCATTTGAATAAGCTGCTGCAGGCAAAGCAAAAGGACTTTGGTTAAAATGGCTAATTAATTTTGCTATTGTGGGATCTAGAGGTTGATCAAAGTCAAACAACCGGGTAGGCCTAAAAGAGACTTCAGTTTTGATTCATTTTATTCACTCCACAGACACAGAAATAATCACCAGATACCTACACAGGTGCCTATATTGTCTGCTAAAATTCATGTCTTTGAGCATGTTCTTATTACGATGGCTTCAAGCCAGAGTTGGAGCACTGAGACAAGCATATAAATGAATGCAATACATGGCCTGAAAAGTAAAGCATATGTCATCGACCCTGCCCGCGCAAGCAAAGAAAGAAAGGCTAAAAGAATAAAACAGCTACAGCTCAGAACAAATACATGTGGGACAACTGCATGGGTGAACTCAGACATTTTGGTCTACTGGGCTCAACGGAGGAATTAAGAGAAGCTCAATTTTACAGATAAACCTTTATCTCATAATTCATTCATTTTCAAGATGATGGCTGTCATGATTTAACAAAAAGATAGGACTTACCTAAAATGAAAGTAAAGAGGAGAAGGACTCCACAGATAAGTAGCACAGTCCTTTGGGGGCAAAACCCAGAAACGTTGGATTGTGGTACCAACTTTGTATCCAGGATATGATGTAATCAGCTACACATGTAGGACTCCAGTATCTCCATCTGTAAAATACATATACTAATGTAACTGTTTTTACTGTGTAACTGCTGAGTAATTAGAAAGTCATGATGATTAAAATATGGAGGAAGAATAAATGATAAAGTGCCAATTTGATAGGTACACCCGGATGCATTGTAATACTGCAGAAACTTTTATATAGTTACTCAAAGTTTGAAGATTTAACCTCTGGTTTTCCCCAAAATATCACTAAGATGCTACAAAGGAAGGTAAACACATTAAACTAGATCAGCCATGAAAATAAGAGCAGGCTTCTGTAGTTGAGGGTGAAATGGAATCAGGAGCAGCCAGCTGAGAACAAGAGCACAAATGAAGAGCTGAACTACTTTCAGTTTATTACTTTTTTTAGGGAGTGGAAGCAGCTGCCGTATGTCTGTCAGAGACCCTGCCACACATAGATGCCTGGGTATCATTATCCCAGCCCAATGGGAAAGGAGAGTGGGCAGGTGCTGGGGCTGGACCACTGGTGAACGTAAGCTGTCCAATTCAAAGATTTCAAACTAAGACTTGAAATTACTAATGCCTAATGATTTTGTAATGATAGATGAGGAAAGGCACCTTTTCTGTAAAAGGAGGTTCTAGAAGCCTAAGAATACTGAAATTGATCTTGCAGTTTTCTCCTACAGCCAGTGGATTTGTATATCACTAGAAGCTGGGGCAATTAGTTGAAATCAAGGAACCAAATACATGCAGACAACTAGTAGGACAACTATTTGGAACACTTCCCCTAATGGAAACTTTTTCCTATAAATTTCTTTTAACTTCTTGAGTGAAAAGAAAATGGTAGATGAAATTATAAAAAAAGTCATCAAACACAAAATATATGACAAAAGCACTGTTGAGTTTTGATAATAAAAAGCCATGTTATAAAACTTCTAGTAATTGGCTATGCAATTTAGATTATTTCTTGTGCTGAGTTTGATTAGTTGTGTGTGCTATCATATTTAAAGTTATTTTAAAAAATCTTCTTTGGGCATTATTTGGCATACAGGTAGTCTACTAGAAACCATATATAACGTAGGGGAGATGAGTGGCCTGGATGTCAGGCAACCTGTGGTTTATAGCTCTGGGGAGGACATTTAGTTTCTTAATTACCAATAAAGTAAAGCTACAAGGACCTGAAAAGTTAAGAATAGGCCCTTCAGGTTTGTTAATCTATATTCAAAGTTGACTCTATGACCACTTCATTATAGGACTTTATGAAAATTCTTGCCTACTCTGGGTCCTTCCTTTGTTTAACACTTGTGACATTTTTTCCACTCACTAGCTAAGCTACCCTGGCCAACTAATGATATTGAAAGTATGAAATGCTGAAATTTTTTTATTTTTATTTTTAAAAATAAAAGGAGGAAAACATTAACAGAAAACCTTTTACAAAATAGCAAAAGAACAGTACAGACAATACAGAGTTACAAACAAACTGGTAGGAAATTAACAGTGCTTGTTGTATTACGTATTGATATCTACAAAGTGGTTTCTCATGAAAACAAATAGAGACACGTAATACTGATCAACCAAGGACTCATTGACAGTTTCTTTCAGCAAAGAAATAGAAGACAGTAAAACAACTATGTTAACTGTCCTGTATATACATACACACAAAATTTCTCCTTCTTTCCCTTCTCTTTTCCCACATCCCAGTTGCCCTTTACCCTTGAGTGTTTTCCTATCATTTCACAATGTCTGTCATACCTCTGAGTTTAAATTAACTCTTTCAGGTTTTTACACTAGTGAGGCAATGCTGTGCTTGCACATGCAGGTCTGATTTGTTTCACTTCTGAGTATGGTCTCTAGTTGTGACCATTTACCTATAAAAGCCTCAAGTTTATCTTTCTTTATAGCTGAGTAATATTCCATTACATAAAAGTACCACAATGAAATGCTGAAATTTGGAAGTCACTATGCCAATTAGCTGGCAATTTTAATTAGGTAACATACTAACCCCATTATTTTCATTTTCAGTCTTAACAACTCCCAAAAAGGTAGATGACCTGCTTCCACATCATTACCAAGGAAAGCTGTATTAGTCAGCTTTCCATTACTGTGAGAACATACCCGAGACAATCAGTTTATAAAGATAAAAGGTTTTGTTTGGTTTGTTTTTAGATTTAGAGGTTTCAGTGAATGAATGTTTGCTGTGGACTTGTGGCAGCACAGAGCACCATGATAGGCGTGAATGTTGGAGGAGGTGTGTTCACTTCGTGGTGGCCGGGAGTCAAAGAGAGAAAAAGACAGAGGAAGGGCCCGGTCTCCACTGTCCCACTCAAGGGCACACCCTCCATGACCTAACTCCCTCTCATAGGGCCCAATCTACTAAATGTTCCACCACATCTCAGTTATACCACAGGCTTGGGACCAAACATTTAGTATATGGGCCCTTAGAGGACATTTCACATCCAAACAAGAGCAAAAAGTCTCTAGATTTTTTAAATGCTATTCCTGGTAAGTAACGTATGCAGTAATGGAACCCAGACCGTTCTGACTTCATTGTCTGGGATTCTTCCACATAACTCCTTGATCAGGTAGAAGAATGATTATTTTCCTTAATTGTTTTTTTTTTTTTTTGTACCAGGAATCAAACTCATGACTTTGCATTTGCCAGGCAGGCTTTATGCCACTGAGCTACATCCCCAGCAATAAAATGTTTTAAACATAGCTACTAGATTGCTTCAAATTATTATTAGAATAACAATAACTCATTACTTGGATATCTTTGTAGTGAAGCTTCTGTGGATCAAATCTAGTGAATTCTAACTAACTGGAGAAATTAGTGAAAAATATGTATCAGCAAAAAGACAATAACTACATGGCTTGTCAGGCACTGCCTCACACATATTATGTCATCATTCTCATAACAATCCTAACAGCTAGCACTGTTAGCACCATTTTGCAGATGGACATGCAGAGGTTAAATACATTGTCCAACATCACATCATGAGTGGCAGAGCCTGGTCCCAAACTCAGGTATGCCTCGCTCCATAGCCCATTCTCTCAACACCTCCTGTGTTTCTGTATTGGTAAGAATTTGCAATTCTACATGAAGAAATTTATTACTGGGGACAAGAGCCCTAAGCTGTTCTCACCGTCCTTCCTTTTTCCTTGAGTCTTGCCATCTGCCCTCCCCATTCTTGTCTCTCAGGATAGCCAGGAGGTTCCTGACTGCCCCTACACAGGTGGCTCACACCCTACACTCCCACTGAATTTGTCCAATTCCATCCTTGCTCCAAACACAACAGTCCTCAAGAAGGCAAAGAGAAGAGCAAGCTTAAAAAGTTATATACAAGGAAGTGGATGAGTTGAATGCATGCACTACAGGTATTGCCACAAGAAGACAGGCAAACACGTTTTGAATTACTTGCTGGTCACGGGGTCTGGTTGGGGTGTAATTATTGATAGTAATCACTGCCTGATTGTCTTTGTAGTAAATAAATTTCCCTGGGGTCAAGTCTGGAGAATTCAGACTAATTGGAGAAGGAGATGTAATTGAAAAATAGAACATATTTCCAAATACAGGAAAGCCTTATTCTTTTTATTCACAAAACAGCCTCAGGTATACCACTAAAAAAGATCAATAAAGTCTTTAATGCTTTTGTGTTAAAGACTAAATAAGAATATTTGCAATCAGTCTGAAGTTGTTAAAAAATAAACAAGTTGAAGATATCTTATTTAACCTGAAACTCTTGTCTTGGAATAAATAAAAAGGCCAAATAATTTGAATATTCCACCCAGTTTGTAAGATTTAGGAAAAGAGTTTATTCTGTAAATATTAACATCAAATCAGCTAAACTCTAAATTACTTAAAAAGTCAAAGACTTTGAAATAAAAAGACTATGAAAGCCTGGGATTGAATGAATACAATTTTCCTGTTGGCGACTGGAAATTACTGTAGCAGCAGAATCGCAGAGACGTCCTGTGATGCAGAGTGACACGGTGATCACCGGGGGCTACCTCATGACAGCACAGTATTTAAGAGAATACAACTGTGAAACTAGCCTCATTTTGAGGCAGAATTTCTTCCTCTGATCCCCTGGCTACTAGTCAGATTTTCTCCTCTGAGCAATCCAACCTGGATGCATAAACTAGATAGAAATGCAAGAATGTAAGTGGAGATTCTTCCCAGAGGTGGAATAATGCATGCTATTCAGAGGTGAAGGAATACTATTTGAAGAGTGTAGAGATGGGGCACCTCTGTTCAAGACATCCCTATTAAAAAGCACTTTCATGCTTTGCGAGTCACTGCTGATTTAATGTAAAGCAGCGTGATGTGTGCGGATGAATGCAGTGGTCATCCCAGGAGAAGGGGTAGAGGGTGTGGAGGACCAGGACAGTGAGAACACTCCTTGCAAGGAAGGAGAGAGGAGCACTCTTGGATTGCTCTAATAGCACTTCCGGGGTCAAAGGTGAGCAGTCTGAGTAAAGAATGTGACGTGAGGCCTGGAGCTGACCCATGCCCAGCACTGGGGGACTCATGTCTGAGCTGGGGAGAAAAGAGAACAAGGAAATGGAAAGAACTGTGAAGAAGTTACAGTGTGGGGTTGGACAGAGGCCTTTGCTCTGAGGCTCACAGTCCTCAGTCTGCTCATCACAGATTCCCTCTGATTTCTGCATCATTCACCTTATCACCCGCATGCCTAACAGACGACCACCAAGTTCTTGCCTCTGGGTTTCTTCCTCCAGCCTCATCTCCTACCACACTCCTCATAAGGCTTTAGTGCTCAAGTCACGGCTAAATGATTTGCAATTATTTATTCAATTATGTTCTCAGGACTTGAGGCTGTAGTTGGTGACTCTCTCTGTCTGGAATGTCCAGCATCTGCCTGAAAAATCCCCTGTAGGTCTTGGGAACACTGGAAGGCAGCTTTTGTTCTGCAAAAACCACAGTTGGCTCCTCCTTGCTAAAGTTCAATAGAAA